CCTGCGTGGTGACAGTCTGCCTGACTGAAACCAGGCCAGAGAAATTCACCCAAAAGATTGGGAAAGATTCCTGACTATGTTATTTGATCATTCATGCTTGAAGTGAGATTTGCCCTGCCACTAAATTTCTTATTTTCCCCCCTCAAACTATTTTGAGTTGGTTTCATCCACTTACAGTTGGAAAAGTTCTGGCCAATGCACTCATCATCATTTTCCTCAGGGAGCATTTGCTTAATACTTGGATCATTCCATATTAACCACTCACAACTAATACGAACACATAGTATTAATAAAAGGGTAGAATTGAAAGGGCCACCTGGTCCAGTTTCCCATCTAACCAGAAGTCCCTTCCTGAACATCTTTCATGACATTTAACCTAGAATACACATAATTTCTTCAAGGGTTTTGAGATTCAACAGTGTTTCCATTTCCTATTCGAAGTTTTAGAATATATTTGAAATACCAATCATATCTCTACTCTGTCTTCTTAGCTCCCAGCTACATAACCTCAGTTCCTTCTCCTATCTTTCACAAAATGATATATCTGGACCACCTTGATTGCTTTCACCTCAATTTACTTGTTTGTTAAATATCCCCTTTAACAGGGGACCTGCAATGAGTTAGCTTTTCCTGTATTTTTCTCTAGACCAGGGGTGGGGAATGCCCGGCCCACAGGTCATATAAGGCCCGTGTAGTCATTTGGCCTGGCCTTACCAAGACATTAGGGGTGAGTTTATTAAATGTTTGACCAAATACTGGTATAGTGGGCTAATTTTTAAGTTGATAATTTTGGATGGCCCATGAATGATGTGATACAGTAAATACCCAAGTGGCTGTTGGCAGAAAAAAGGTCCCCCACTCCTGCTCTAGATTCTTACATGAATGCAGCCATATTTTTGGGTTTCTATTTCCCATAAGCTTGCTGTTACTTTTTTCCCCCTCCCTCTCATCCTTGTTTTTGTTTGTTTTTGTCTGAGGAGTTCTTAAGCCAGGTCTGTGTTTGAGTTTGTAGTTTTAATTATTTGAATCTATATTAAGACTTTGCAAGCAACCATAAGCTTTTGTTCCTCTAAATATCCAACCTGTATGTGTGTGTGTGTGTGGGAGCAGGGATTGTTTCACCCATGTGTTTCTGGCTCATTGGAACCTTTGATGTATAGAATGATGTAAGAGTCAATCACTGTCACTTAGGTCCCTGAAACAGCCCATTGATTAGATAAGAGTATTAATTTCATCAATTAGGAACTACATTTGACAACATTTTAGGGTCACACAATTGTAATGTTTCTCATTAAGACAATTTCGCACAGTCTCAACTGGCATGGTGATTTTGGACTCAGAAGGTTAAAGGTAAAAAGGACCTGATAGAGCTTATCAAGGCCAAGGTCCCCTTTTATAAATGAGACTGAATTAAAGGTGATTAGGCCGAAGGTACATGGAGTTCATGACAAAACCAGGACTAGAACTTGGGTCTTTTTTATTCTCCCTTACTATCCTTAGTCTCAGATTTGGGAAATAACATTGATCTGCTATGTTTGAAATTTGCATATTACTTCCTTTTGGGTATTTTCATAGCAAGGACTCTTTTGGGAGTGGGGGCTTCTCCAACTGTGCATGGCACCCTCCTATCTCCTCTCCCAACATCCATAATCTCTTTCCCACTCCCAAACCATTCAAAGGTACTCAGGCCAATATTGCTGTGGGCAATCTAGACCTGAAAAATCAGATGAGATGGATGTTCCCAAATCCAAAGCAGCTGGCACTTGAATCAGGATGACACTGTCCTGTCAAGACTCAAACACTCTTAGAACTTTGTTTTGGTGGCAGCTACACATTATATTTTACGTTTGTTTAAATCCCTTGGGTTTTTTAAGGATATTTGTATAAAGAATCACATCTTTGCCTTAACTGGTTTGGCTTAGTGGATAGAGCGTCAGCTTGTGGACTGAAAAGGGTCCCAGGTTCGATTCTGGTCAAGAGCATGTATATACTTTGGTTGCAGGCACATCCCCGGTAGGGGGTGTGCAGGAGGCAGCTGATGGATGTTTCTCTCTCATCGATATTTCTAACTCTCTATCCCTCTCCTTTCCTTTCTGTAAAAAATCAATAAAATTTATTTTAAAAATTCAAAAAAAAAAGAATCACATTTTTACATTCTTGTCTGATCTGGAAGCATATTGTCCCTCAAATGTTCTAATCTTACCAGGAAGACATGTTAGTTGGACTGTATCATGGGGAATCATAGCATCAAAGAAGAAACAGCCAGTTGGAGAATCTCAAACTGTATAAACATAGACCTATCGAGGAGAAAAGATCATATAGAAGGAAAATTATGATAAAATAAACTGAGTGTAAAGAATATTTAGACACCTGGTCTGCAAAGAAACATAATCCAGGAATAGGGGTTGCCTCTGGGAGGAGGGATGGATGGATGGAGATCAGGATAGGAGGGAGAGAGATGTGTAAAATCTGAACTATGTTTTTGAGGCCTTCCTTTTCAAAAATAACTGAATGAAAATAAAATAAGTATAAAGTGCTACACATAGTTTCTTTACCTGAGGCAAATATTTTAAAAAAAAATATTTTAATTGATTTCAGAGAGGAAGGGAGAGAGAGATAGAAACATCAATGATGATAGAAAATCATTGATCAGCTGCCTCCTGCATGCCCCTGTACTGGGGACTAAACCCACAACCTGGGCATGTACCCTGACTGGGAATTGAATTGTGACCTCATGGTTCATAGGTCAACGCTCAACCACTGAGCCATGCTAGCTGGGCAAGAAGCAAATGTTTTGTTTTGAGAACTTTCATTGTGTTTTTCAGTGCTTCAAGCACATTTGGGGAAAAGAGTTATGGAGACATCTCCTTTAGCCTTATTTTCTTGACTTATTAAGTAATATGGAGTTTTCTTTGGCTAAAATTTTGTTGTTGCTACTCTTAAGGATTTTTTTTTCACCCAACATATCTTATGTCAGTATTTTCTATGTTGGTACTAATTGATTTTTATCACCCTAAAGACTTTGACAAATAAGGAATATTCAATTTTCCATCTTCCTAGTCTTTTTGCATAATATTTGATATTTTAAAAATAGGCCCCCAACCCCTCTCATTTTCATCACATTTCTCTTACCTCTTAGCATGTGGTCACCATATGTAATGGGCCACTTTTGCTCACTCTAAAGGTAGATTATTTGGCTGTATCAGTGTGTGATGGATTAAATCAGGGTTTGTGACTATAGATTTTACATTGGCATATATGAAGATAGCAGTTCTCAGTAGGTGCAACTTAATGGAGATTTTTCCATTTTGCAAGACATGATTTCTGATGTGTCTGCCATGGTTTTGCCTCTCTGGAAATAACACCAGGATTGCACTTATTTGTGATAGGAGAGAGACTGCAGAAAGAAAAGATGTTGGCTTCAAGGTAAAGATTTTGGCAGATCCAACGCCATCTCATTGGTTACAAAGCCTTTCTGGAAAGCGTGCAATTATTCAGCTTGCACAGCACAATTAAGCAAACAATTCATTTAGTCTCTCTATTGATATTCCATTGCAGAGGGATGGGGATGGCTCGGGAGATTGGAAATGAGAGCTGCAGCCTTTCCCCTCGACGTCTGTGGTTTGGATCTGTTCAGTGGGGTAGTGACCGCATGGTGTCTCCATCTGATGGCTGTGCAGTGACCCATGTGAAACAGATTGGGGTTTCAGGCCCATGGTGAAGCGGTCACATCTCAACATCCAGGATCCCAGCTGGCAGAAATATGTGAGGATTATACCGACATGGTTCTATTCAGTTTGCGCTTGAGTGAAATTCATATTGTGAAAATCCTACTTGCTGTAAAGTGAGCTTTAGAATATCTTTAAAGCCCTGAGTGAAGGTCTCAGCCTTCTACTGTGTCTGATGAGTAGCACATTTAGCTTGTTTACTTTGGCTCAGAGTCTTTAAGAATCTTTATGGAAAATGTCTCCCAGTTCTCACCCACATTTGTGAATGCCAGGATAATATATCTACTCATGGTTATTACAAACTGCCTAAAGAGACATGGTACTTGGGTACAGCATTCTTTTTACATTTTGTAGTAAATTGTGGCACATGTTGGTAGTTTTAGGTTGTATGAGGCCTCTTGTGAATAAAACAGATGTGCTTATAAAAGATGTGCTTATAAAGTGCCATTCGGACCAAAGATATTTCTTAACCTAGGCTTGGGGGGACATGTTGATTGACCCTCTGGGCTTCCTCAGTATGTTTTTATTGATGAGAGAGAGAGAGAGAGAGAGAGAGAAAGAGAGAGAAAGAGAGAGAGAGAGAGAGAGAGAGAGAGAGAGAGAGAGAGAGAGAGAGAGAGAGAGAAGTTGCCTCCTTACACACCCTCATCTGGGATCTAACTCAAAATCTAGGTATGTACCCTGACTGGGAATCCAACCGGTGACCTTTTGTGCATGGGAGGATGCTCAATCAACTGAGCCAGGCCAGCCAGGACTGCATAATTTCCATTTTCAAATCCTAACATTTAACAAGCTTTTACACATTTACACACACACACACACACACACACACACGGATTTACTAGTACTACTTTTTTACCTTTTCTCGTTGGAAGAATCCAGATGTGGACCTCGGAGAAGGAGGAGGAGGAGGAGGAGGAAAAGGAGGAAGGAGGGATGGGGAAGGGGAGGGGAAGGAAAGGGGCCCTGCTGGCCCCATAACGAGAAGAGGCTCCGTGATTGGTCACCTTATGGACTACTTTCTAGGGGTCAATGTGTCTGATCAGATCAATGCGTGCCTACAGCTCTGGCCTGGCGTTGGAGGAGGGGAGCTGATGGTTGTATTGAAGTGGGCAGTTAGCCTTTAAGTGAAAAACAGGCGTTCATCTTGTCGTAGCTTGTGGTATTTATCTGTTTTAAAGACAATTGTGGACTCACGTTTTTTTTGAGTTCCCGTGAGGAGTAGGTCATTATGATGAAAATATTTTAAAAGCTTCTTTGCTTTCTTGGCAGGAAAAAATGAACACACTGGAGAAAGGCATGGGAGAAATAGTGGGCTTGGACCCTTCATCCTCTCCCTTTCCCTTTTCTGCTCAGCCTGATGGGGTAAGAGGCCCACTAATCCTTTGACTGTGGACTGAGTCTCTATGCAGCGGTCCGAGGTGTTTGGACACAGTGGGGTTGGATTTGTGATAGCCTCCTTTGTTTACTGCATAGTAAGATGCCAAGGGTTGGCTGTTTCATTACCTGATTAAGGCTTCTTATTTAAACTGCAAGGTATCACTTAAACACAAAACGAACTAGAAGAGAGTTAAATTAGATCTTTCTGTTGACAAGAAAATTATTGACTCTCATAAACTCATCAGTGAATTACAGAAACACAGTGGGATGTTTTTTCAGCTCCTTTGGCAAAGGCTGTGCTGGTACTTTTTGCACATTATTTGAGAAGAATCTTGTGGGAGGTTGTGGAACTGATTCACTGGCTTGCAGGAAGACCATTTGACTTTTATCTCCTAAGGTTGACAATGAATGCTTTTATTTAGTTTAGAGGAGGAAGGCTTTACCTTTTTACCATGACTCATAATTTCTAAGCAGTGCTTTACAATGAGGTTCAGGGGAAAGTGTTACCATCTCTTCTCTTTTAAAGGCATTTTCTTGCCTTTTTTTTTTTTCGTAAATGATAAGCCATTTTTTTTTCTCTAAAAGGGCTTGTCTTCTTGTCACTGTCTTCTCTGTTTCTATGCCATTGTTCCTCTAGCCTAGCTTCTCTTTTAACGTCTTTTCTAATCTTTGTCAAAAGTAACATCTCTTTTGTCTTCCATTTCTCTTAAATTTTTCTGTGAAGACTAAGTTTTCTTCTTGTTCGTTCCCACTGTTGTCTTTCTTCTCTGTCCGTCCAGAGTAGGTGCTGCTCTTTGTGAGCTCACATTGTTCTAACTCCCTACTTACCATATCAAATATCTAAGCCTTACGAATCGCTCCTGATCCTTAAAAGTTTGGGCATCCTCCGATAACAACCAATTTTGGAACTGTGCAACATCAGAAAGTCCAGGTAGTTTATTGTTTTCTTGTAGCTTATTTACTTATTTTGCAAGCAATTTTGTTCTCTTTCATAATTTCTTTCCAAGTCTACTAGTAATTCTAAACTGGTAAGATATTGCCTGTACTTATTCAATTCCATCCAGGCACATACAACTTCATCATTGCTGGTGAAGTAGCCATCTTTGTTTAATCTCTTCAGGATATCTTTGCATGAATGGTATGCTCTTAAATGTGGATCATGGAGACTATTATGTTTGTTTTCCAAAAGTCTAAAATAAGGAGTAATCAGGTTAAAACCATAAGAAGGTTGAAAAAGCCTTTCACTTAACTTTGTAGTAGAGTGTGAAGTATTGCTCCCTGGGAATCCCAGGCAGCTTGACCCCCAAGACGCAGATCCAGTAGTGAGCTGCCCTGACGCCTGGAAAGATATTTCTCTCTGTCTTTCCCTCTCTCTTCCACATCTCCACACTGCTGGCTGTCTGCAGCCAGGCTGCTGCTGGCCGTCTTGGTGGCGGCAACACTGGCAGCCTTGGAGCGGGTGCTGAGGTACAGCTCCATAGCAGGCCCCTCGTTTGTTTTGTTTCCAATGCCTGTTGGCTATGAAAGGTGCAGGTGAAACCCTGGAAAATAACCTCTGTATTTTTATCAACATACAGATGTTTCTGGGAAGTGGTATAGGAACCATGCTGAATTCCATTCCATTGCAAAAGGAAGGAATGGGACAGGAGATGGGTTGCAGGGAGGCCACTGCTACCGGAGGCCATGGTCATGGTAGCAGCCCCCCTTTAGCCTTCTTTGACATAATGTTCCCTAGACTTTTATATCCTCAAAGGACTATTCTTTCTTGCAACACACTATGGGGAAGCTAGGTTAAGATGAACTATACAGACAAGAGAGAGAGGATGACATTGGGTAGCAGGATGAGTAAAACACATTTAATTCATACTTGCTGATCGCAGGGACTCCATTACCGCCTAATGAAGAGGGAGCATGTTACCTCCTTGATTTTGTCTAAGACCCTTCTGTTTCCCATGTTTGCAAGAACCACGTATTTCAGCTTCGGAAATAATTCAAGTTCAATATGATCAGGGGGGTGTCTCACTTTGTTAACAACGGTCGGTTGTGGAGCCTGCTGTTTGCCAAAGGGAACCTCCTTACCATTCATGACCCGGGCACGTACCTCGGTTGCAGGCTCCTCCTCGGCCCGGGTCCTGGTTGGAGCGCGCGCAGGGGCAACCAATCGATGTGTTTCTCTCACATTGATATTCCTCTCTGTCTTTACCTTTCTCTTCTACGCCCTCTAAAAATCAGTAGGAAAATATCCTCGGGTGAGGGTTAAAAAACAACAACAACAAATGTGGTTAAATTAGATTCTTTTAAAAGCATTCCAACAAATATAACTGATCAGAAAGTTTTCTAGAGCTGCGTACTTTCATGAAGTTAAAATACCCATCCAAAGTATATTAGTGTACTGCAGAAAATTAGCACATGCAAAGTAATGTAAGCACATGGTACTTTAATTTTTTCAGGGGCCCCGGGGTACCGTTATCTGCTCTTTGCTGGGAAATCACTCATCATGTAGCTATTGGGGAAAGGGAGCACTCGGGCTCCTTTTCTGGGAGCAATCCAATGCAGTATGGATATTAATTAAATTTATTAAACAAATAACACAGCGACTCGGGGAAGCAGGGGTCCATCTGCCAGCTCTGCAGACAGATCTCTGCAGAGATGCAAGCTGAATGGTAGTTAAAGCGAAGTTGCCGAGCTCAGCAGATGGGCTCTTGTCTCCAGTGGGGGAGATTTGGTGGCGGTCCAACAACTCTTTCCCCCCTCCAGGTTTTTGTTCCTTGCAACTGTGATTGAAGAAGCCCTTCTCTGCCTTTTCCCAGCCTTGTGCCCCCCCTCCCCCCACTTTGTTTATTTGAGCAATGTTTAAATCTGAGTGATTTGTTAGAGAGGCAAGTCCCGGCTGATCTCATTTTGTGTATGTGCTGTAAAGCTCAAGCAGAAAATAATTAGGAGAATGTAATCCCATTGACTTTGCACCCCACTTGTGTACATTGCAGCAGCTCAGCCTTGTGCCCTGGAATAAAGTCTCTGAACAGATTCAGATATAGTCAGTATCTCCATTCTCTGCCTTTGGAAGTTCATATTACTCGGAGGTTCAGATGCTTATTATTCTTAAAATTGTATCTTAGATTGCTTTTAGACTTATATGCTTTTGAAGTAATGCAATTTAAGGATTCTTGTTTGGTTTTTTCCCCCTCCCCCTTAATGTCTTCATATTCTGCTGTCAAGTGTCTAGGTGCCTTAAATCCTAGTGTCTCCTTCACTTGCCATCTGGGGTGAAATGTCATTGACAAAGTTAGATCAGCACATTTGTGATCGGCTGTGTCTTTTAAAAAACCACTTTCCCACCTCCCGACCCACCTCTCCCATAAAAAGGATGGTGAACTTGAAATCTTTCTCTAAAGAAGGACCACTTTGGTTTCAGTTGATTATCACTTCCCAGCATTTGGACCAATTTTTGACAAAAGCCCACTTGAACAGAATTTAATGCTAGGATGTAAGATTTGGTGGAAAATCATCCCTCCACACACACCCCTTTTCCCTACCTGACCCTTTGCAAAAATTATTTTGTAGAAGGTTCTCTTGTCTTTGGCTATATAGCCCCTTGCCTGGAATCAATGCCTTCCACAGGAGAGGAGTGGCAGGGGGGAGGGGGGGGGGCGGGGTGGGCAGAAAAGGAGAGCCACACAAGCCCTACTAGGCAGAGTGTGTGCTCTCTTGATGGCAAAGTTTTGGACTAAATACCGTAGATGCCACCTTGGGCTGAGTCCTGAGTGCCCTTACCTTGAAGAAATAGGTTTGGTTTCGACCAACCTGCCAATGGGATAGATTAGCTGAGATAAAGACACCTCTGTGGAATAGAAACTCCTCCAATCAGAATGATCCCCACCCAACCCCCCAGCTCTCTGCTAGCAGAGATCTTCGCTGGCTATAGAATTCAAGGAGAAGAGCTGATGAGTCTGGGAGTATGATTATCCCTGGGTGTACTGAGTTTTATGGGAGTATGGAGGTCAAATCCTTAATCCGGCTTTGTCAGAAGGACCAACAAATGGGCCCATTTTCCCGGAGCACAACAAAATCTTAGCCAGCAGAGCCTCTATCCAACCAGGACAGTCAGTTCATTTCTGCTGCAACTGTAGACCTTTGGCCAAGTCCATCCTTGGTGTTGGTCCATGTTTACGCTTTTTTGAACCCAACTTGAAACCTGAATTGCTTTGGTTTGATCAGAGATGCAGGATTTTAGCTGACGTTGTCAGATTGCTCCTCACTGAGATTCTATCTCTCCCTCAGGCCACACCAGTATTAATAATATGAAGTTCTATGTTACTATGGCGAATCGTTGGAATTAGATCAGGGGTGGGGAACGTCTGGCCTGCACGCTGTATAAGGCCCAAGAAATCTTTTGGTCTGGCCCTGCCAAGGCATTAGGGGGAAGTTAATTAAATGTTTGATCAAATATAGCAGGCTAATTTTTAAGTTGACAATTTTGTATGGCCTGCAAATGATGTTATAAATATCCAAATGGCCCTTGGCAGAAAAAAGGTTCCCCACCCCTGAATTAGGTGGAGATTTTTGTTTTTCATTAGAACCCTGCCAACGCTTATTGTGAACTCTGAGAGTTATTGTTACAACCCCGTCCTTTATGGAATTTAAAAAAGCTCAGCTCAAAAGATAGTCACGAAGAAGCTGGTGAAAAATGTTTGTTTACCGGTGAATCATAGGTGAACTGCCAATTTATTTCTCTAATTTGTTGGAAGTCAAAATTGGCTGGGGTGGGGGGAAGATTCGACATTTTGAATTCATAGGCCATTTACCAGTGTCTGCACTGTCTCTCCTTCCACCCCGGTGTACCTGGACTAATTTCGTTATCTGATTTAAATCACAATCTAGTTGCTCTGGCATCTCAATTTAAGGGAAGATTGGACGTTGTTTTTCAAAGGGAATTGCAAGTGTTTTACACTTGTCTGAAAACAGATTGTGGCTTCTTTCCCAAGGATAAGCTTAGAAATTATGTATAAATCTTAGGGTTTCATTCTTAGCAAAATGTTTTCAACCCTCTTGTCCACACATTAGTATACATGAACAACACACAGAAAAAGCCAGGGAACAGCCTGACAGTGTGAATATTTCTGATCTGCTTCCTGCCCCTGCCATTCTACAGGACACATTTTATTTACTCTGCGGCTTCTAATTGCTTTATTGCAAATTTTGTAGGCAGCCTGGCAATTTGGAATGGAATGCATAAAAAAGCTTTTGACTGGGGACAAAGTTAACACTCATCTGTAAGGAAACAGAGAGTAGTTTTACAAATAACAATGCATTTTTTAATTGCTTGAGAAGAACAGGTATTTTTCAGATGTGTTTATTTATTTGGCTTTGGTGTACTTTTCTTCCAAGAACTCAAGTGCAAACTTTAAAAATATTCATTCCAGGGGCTCTTAGACTGAATAATTTATAAAAGGAACCAGGATTGTGAGAACCATCACCAGCCTTGTACAGTCACTGTCTTCAGAATTAACTGCTGTGGCTGTTCAAAGCATGGCCCTCACTCTCTAGAAAAGGGACTGAAGAACAATGTCTCAGAATGAAACCCAGGCCTGGCAGCCCAGCTCCTGAGGGGAAAAGGAAGGTTCATGGTCATTGTCATCCTTAATGATCTCACAGCCCATTTCCCACATCTCAGTCTTATTTCTGGGACCATTTCTGTAGTTTTTTATAATCCTGGACCCGATGAATATTGATTGATTGTCGGTTCAATTTGCACTTGGCTTCTAGGAGCTGAGCAGAACAACCCAGCACTCTAGGTTGTGGCCTCTGGCCAACTGAGTCTTCTCCGTTCTGGAATCCCTTATCTTTGCAATGCTTTGGGTCACTGCCTTTGGCTCTTATGATCTAGTCTTCTGAGGCTGAGCTGACAGGAGAGGAGGGCCTTCCTGATGGCTAGCATGATTCTTTTGTTCATATTCTACAGTAGATTTTGATTCAAATCCAGAGTCATACAGTCAGAAGTGAATTTATAAGACATCCAGCCCATCTCCCTCCCAATGATAATCCATGTTGGAGGGGGGACTTTAGGGTGAGTGTGTGGGTTTATGCTGCTTGTCAACTTGTAACAACAGACAATTTACCCCCACATTGTTGTAGTTTTCAATTTTGTGAATTTTAAATGTTTTTTATGTTAGAAACTTATTTCTTATACCAGCGATTTTCAACCCTTTTCATCTCATGGTACACATAAACTAATTACTAAAATTCTGTGGCACCCAATTACGTGTATTGTACCCAAACTCCAAGGCAGACCATCACAAAGATTAGTTGTTGGGGTAATTACTTAACATCTCCTAGCATCAATTTCTTCATCTTTAAAATGAGAATTGATGTGCTGTAAAGATTAAATGGCATGATGTATGTGAAGCCCTTGGCATGGGAGCTGGCACATAATAAGTGGGTACAATACACATAATTTATTTGTCATAGATCTACAATCATTGTAAAGTTTCTAGTTTCAGGTAAATATATTTCATAATAAAACACAATTTTAAAAATCAATGAAGTGATCATTTGAGTCATGTAGCCAGATTTGAGATACCCAAGGAGTTAGATTAGTCAAAATTCTTCCTGGAGCATAAACCAAGTGCTTTGGGAAATGGCACTATTTCCCAAATAGTGTAATGTTTCAGTAGATCAATACTCTGTGATTCAAAAAGCCCAAGATTATCTGATATTCCTAAAAGTCCTGAGCATAAATTTGGCCTGTAAGTAAGTTTGATTCTTAAATAGATCTTAATTTCTTGCTATTCCCTGGTCCTATTCTGGCTCCAACGCTGACTGAATATTATCTCCTTGCAGCTTCTGGTCTCACAAAGGACAGGTGAAATAGGGTGAAGTGCTTATGTAAATTTATCACCCCTTTCAAGAAAGGGCTTTCTTCTATTTTGAGATTTTTGTTGGTAAATTCAGCAACTATTTTTGGAGAGCAATTGACCCGAGAAAATTTAATTTTTTTAAATCACATACTAAAATGCGGCCTTTATTTACTTAAACATTATTCAACCTAAGTGTAAAACACACTGCTAGGGCCCTTTAAATTTTTTTTGTTAGATTTTTTTTAATTCAACTCTAAAGACAATTCAAGTGAGAAACTTTAGTGCATTGATTTTGTTCTTTGAGTCATTGCACTGTAATTAGCTGAGTTGCGTTTTAAATGTAGCACGAGAACATCTTTCTTGTCTGTTTATGTCAGGAAAAAATGGCTAATGAGCACTTATCAAAAAGATGAACATTTTTTCATTAGATTAAGTAAAATCAAAACAGATTTATAATGTACTATTATATTTCGGCTTGGAATAAATTGAGCAAAATAGCGAATATTTTCACAGCTTCCTGAGAATTTATTTGCATGGCAGGATCCTCCTCCCCCACACACTTAGACTTCAGGAAAGTGCCCATTTATGGCGACTTTGTGGAGTCAGAGCGCATTCCCAAAGGCCTGGGAAAGCTCCTAATGGTATTTATGAAATCTGAGCATGAAGCAGGTATCAAAATGGATTTTCTTTGGATTATGCCAGTGAGCTTTGCTACTTAATGAAGTTCTTTAAAATTATTTAAAAAAATTACTTCCCTCAACTTTCTCATAGTGGTCAGTCAGAATGCCACCTAGTACTCAGTGTCACTCATGCAGAGATTTCTTTCATTTTGAGATTTTTGTATGCGTTCAAGTGGATGAATATTAGCCTTATGTTGCCAAAAGGTACAGATGATGAAGGTTGATTCCTTAGGAAAATTTAATTAAAAAATGTACAAGTTTAAGAACTTTCTCCTTTTAAATGTCATTTAGATGGCAGGTTATTTTCAGATCATCAAGGATTCTAAGTCATTACTTGTGCTTCCACTATGTGAGAGTTAAGTCTGTCTTCATCATTATCTATTTGGGGGCCATATAAATATGCACATATCCACAAAGCAACCAATATAACAGGTCCTTATGTGGCTTAAAGAAGAATCTTGACTTCTTCAAGTTTTCTGAGTTTGTATTAGGGTGAATGTACAAGAGATAAATTCCTTGAATAATGAGAGAGAGAGAGAGAGAGCAAAAGAGAGAGAGCGCGCTCTCTCTGGACATTAGAGATTTAACTTATTGTAATCCTGTAACTTCTCTCCATGTAGCACAGTTTTGGGGAAACATTTAATCGAAATACAATACAGTCATAAAAGAATACGCTTGATTAATTTCTACAAAGTAACATACCTATGTAAACACCATCTAGACCACAGTGTAGAATATCACTAACAGTACAGAAGCCACCTTTGTGCCACTTCCCGGTCATTGTCCCTACCCGAGGTAACAATCTTCTGATTTCTATCACAGATTACTTTTGTCATACCCCTCATTCTTCAAACATTCCTTACTTTCTGGAACAATGAGATGTTCCAGGGTTACCTTTCACTTTATCTGCCCCGGCATTGGGACCAGTCATTTCTTCAAGGAGTCCTGGTTCCATTTTGTGTAGAATGGTATTTAGAAAATAAGATCTGGACACTAAGTGTGCTTATCTTGCTTCTGGAGTGCCACAGGGCTCAAAAGGGCAGGGAAAAGAGGGCTGTCTTTATCTCTATCCCTAACCTAGGCGTTAATACTAGACTCCCAAATCTTACCTAATATTTGAAGGTTCATTTTGGTCTTTCTCTTTCCTGTGTTTGCAAGTCCTTTTTGTAAGTGAGAAATCTGGCTAAATTATCCTTAGTATATTTACTCATTTGCCAGGCTTAGATTCTGTCAATATAAAAAACATACCTCCTAACCAGTGTTCAATATGTGTTAGAAGATTTTTCTTTGAGGGTATATAATCAAAACCCTGTACTCAAAAGTAGTTATTTTTCCTCTTCTGTGTAATTATGTTATTCATTTGACATATAGTTAGGCTCACTTGTTTCTGTTTGTATTCCATTTTAGGTTTAAATTCTTCGTCATCACCATCATCATCATCTTGGGTGAGTATATAAAACATTAAAGCTCCCAAACCCCAAATTACACAAAAAGCTGTATTCAGAAGCGTGTTACTACCCCTCCTCCACCTTGTCTGCCTTGTTAATGTGCCCTCATTAGTTCCTGGTTCAACTTTCCTGAATTACTTTTTGTAAGTGTAAATAAATACTTTTATATTATCTTATTTCCTCTTCTTTCTTACACAAAAGTAGCATACTATATATAGTCTTTTGCACTTTGCTTTTTTTGGTTGACAACCAAGATTTCCATATCACATATTCTTTAGTTTTCATGTACAGCTGCATAATATACCATTGTGTGAATGTATCAGAGTTTATTCAACCAATGTCCTATGTGAGTTCCCCCCCCCCCAATATTTTTCAATTGCAAACGCAGATGTACCTTGTTCATATATACTTTTGTACTGGTGAAAGTATATCTTCAAGGTAACTTTAGATGTGGGCAAAAGGTAAACTCACTTGTGGTTTTGTTAGAGGTTGCTAAATTCTTCTCCCATAAGGCAGGACGCTCCCACCAGCAATGTATGAGTGTCTCATTCCTTGTGTCTTTGTCAAGAGAATGTGCTGTCAAGCTTTGTAATTTTTACCAAGTCTAATAATTGGGAAAAGGTATCTCAGCAGGGTTACAATTTTCATTTTTTTAATTATGCCTGAAGTTGTCCATCTTTTCATATGTTTAAAGGTCATTTAAAAATCTGTATTTGTGAATTATGTGTGACTTTTGCTTAATTTTTATTGGGTTTTTTTTTTTTTATCTTTCCTCTCTGAATTTTAGAGTTCTTTGTGTATTTGGGATGCATAGTCTCCCTTTATCTTTGATGCCTGTTAATCATAGTTATTTTAAAATCAGTATGAGTCTGTGGGAATATTTTATTGTCTTTTCTTTTGGGCTTTGGTCATTTGTTCTTCTTTCCTAATAGGCCTGGTAGTTTTTAACTGAATGTTAGACTTTGTGTCTAAAACGTTGTGGAGACTCTGGATGGTGCTGTTTTCCTGCAGAGGTGATTTAGGTTTCCACTGGCTAAGAGGTGATGTTTGGGTAGACAGCCTCGATCAAAGCTGGTCCATATAGGGTTTGCTCTCACTCTAAGGAAGTGGCCCTTTTGGGGTCGAAACTGAAAGTCTGGGGTCTTTACCTTCCTCCTTGGCAGTCCTCAGCACAGTGAGACTCCTATTTCCTTCCTAGGCTTTTAGCCTTGGAGCAGTTGCTTTCTGCTGGTTTCTCTGTCTCATTGGAGCACGTGCAGCTTAGGAGTCAGTAAATGCCTTTGGGGAAATTTGCACTATGAGGCTCACTTCTCTGCAGCTCATTCTTCTCCAGGATGTTGGCCTTTCAATTTTTGTCACCTCTTCCAACACAGCAAGACCACTGCAAGCTCTAGGTTGCTGTTATCTCTTCAGCCTTTATTCCCCACATAGTAAATTGGCAGATACCCTGATGAGAAACAACAGTAGCAAGTGCAAGCTCACTGCAGTGTGTTACCCTGTCCCCAGGGTTGCAGCCTATAAAGTCCCGCTACCGTGATTATTTCCTCAGGCCTTCACAGGGCTCTTCTTTTACATTTTATCTCACTTTTATAGTTGTTCTCAAACAGAAGGGTTATTCTGATACTATTTATTCCATCATAGCTGGTAGCAGTAGTCATCTTTCCATTTAGCACATTTCATTAAATTTATATGGAAATGAGAGAACACAGTCAAATTGACAAAACATTTTAAAATTGACAAGGAAATTGGCCACTGTTGGGGTGGTATAAATTATTAAATCAAAATCCTTAACAATTTATTTGCCCTTTGACCCAGCAATTCTGCTTTTAGGTATTTATTTTAAGAAAATAATCACGTGTGTGTGTGAAGGTTTATTTACAAAAATTCCAATCCGAGTCAACAAAATTGGAATCATAATCCTCTATATGCGATAAAGGATTTTATAAATTGTGGTGCTTTGATACAATGGAATATAATGGAATTCAACATTAAAATGATGTAGGAGAGTATTTAAACATATCAATAATCTATTGTTAAGCACAAAAGATTACAAAATAACTTGTGTTGTATGGCCCAATTTAAGAATATTTATAAAGATATATAAATATAAGGCTAAAATAATTCCCTTCCTTTCTCACAAATCAATAACAATAATAAGAACAGTAAATAGATTTGTGACAAGGACCTGCATTATCAGGGAAGATTTATTTCTTAGGGGAAAAATTTTAATTTCCTTTTGAAATCAATGGCCAAAATTTAATGCAATCGCTTTTGTGAAGCTAAAGATTTCTGCAGACCATCTTATCCTATGCTGCCCTTTCACTTGAAGGTACCCTTCAAGGCAGCAATCACCGACTATGGCCTCTTGGGTTTGGAGGATGCTTCCTAGGAATGTCCGTTTCTTGACTACATCATCAGAGAACCAGCGGGTTGAAGATTGTCATCGTCACCAGGAGGCCTATGGGTACTTCTTGCCCATCCAGACGAGGTGGCAGGACAATGACCAGTATGGCCACGTGAACAATGCCGTGTACTACAGCTACTTTGACACCATTATCAACCACTACCTGATCAGGTAGGCTTGGGGTCTGCAGCCCCACATCCTCACGTCAACCCTCTGGGAGTTCAGGCGGGCATTTTGGGAAGGGATTCCTGCCATTTTCCTCTGCTAGCTCACCTCTTTCATTGAGTCACTGAAAGTCAGATTATTCCAGAGGAGAACAGGGGGACCGACATGTGGGTGAGGCAAGTGTCGTCCTGCTGCTCCTGAAGCCTCAGGTGTACTGTGTCTTGGTCCTTTGGACTAAACTGTCAGCAAATGTGCAGGCTTTGAATCTCAAATAAGCACCTACACAACAAACCGTGTAATATTCAGACCCTGGGCAACTTGAGCCGACAGAACATCTGCCCTCGAGGCCTTTTTGTGAGACAAGCAGCTGCTGTCCCCATTGAAGACACATAAGGGGCAGGAGAGAGAGTAAAGATACAAAGATATTTGTTATAGTTGCTGAATGTCCTCAAGACATGATTGCCATCCTATAGGCATGTTTACAAATTTGGTTAGTATGATTCTCTATGTGAAAGACTGCATGGTATAGACAGATCTGCATAAATCCTCGCTTTGTCTTGCATTGGCTATGCAATTTTGATCAAATTATTTAGCCTTATTGAATCTTCTGTAAAAACAGCTCACATTTATTAAGAGCTTTCTCTGTGTCTAGCACTGTGAAGCATTTTACACAGATTTTCTTATTTAATCCCAAGACAACTCAATGAGAGAGTAGCAGATTGTCAGTGCACTGCCTGGATCTCCTGCCTATACCCTTTCGGGGCCGCACTGGCCTGTCGTCTGTCAGCACCAACATTGATCTGCCTAAGGACGATCTCTAGCCACCAGAGCTCCTTTGGCAGTTAGGCCAAAAGTGCAAGGAATGTATGCCTCCTGGAAGCAACCTGCCATCACTGACTAAGGGGAGTTGGGGTATAAATATCCCAGCATCCTCACCTCTTGAACATCTGTGATCACTTTACCCAGATTCCCAGGCTTCCCTAGTGGGACTAAGCTCAAATTCCCAGATTGGTACCTTAAAAAAAAACAGATAAAATTTACATGACATAAAATCTACTGTTTTGCCCTGGCCGGTTTGGCTCAGTGGATAGAGCGTCAGCCTGGGGACTAAAGGGTCCCGGGTTTGATTCCGGTCAAGGGCATGTACCTTGGTTGCGGGCACATTCCCAGTGGGGAGTGTGCAGGAGGCAGCTGATCGATGTTTCTCTCTCATCTGATGTTTCCAACTCTCTATCCCTCTACCTTCCTCTCTGTAAAAAATCAATAAAATATATTAAAAAAAAACCATTCCAACTTTTTAAAAAAATCTACTGTTTTAACTATTATATAGTATACAGTTCAGTAGCTTTTAGTGTATTCAGAATATTGTGGAACCATCACCACTAATTCCAGAACATTTCTATCACTCCTCCCCCACCCCCCGCCAAAAAAAAATTCTTATTAGCAGTCACTCTTAAATTCCCTTTCTTCCCATCTCCTCACAACCATGAATCTATTTTCTGTCTCTATAGATTTACCAATTTTGGACACTTCATATAAATGTAGTCATATAATATGTGGTTATCTGTGTCTGGCTTCTCCCACTTATTATGATGTTTTCAAGATTGATCCATATTATAGCATGTATCAATACTTGGTTCCTTTTTATGGCTGGACGATAGTGCATTATATGGATATACCAATTTGTTTATTCATCAATTGATGGATATTTGGATTACTTCCATTTTTTGACTATTATGAATAATACTGCTATTTATGTTCAAGTTTTTGTATGGACATCTTTTAAATTCTTTTTGGGCATGTGCCTAGAACCGAGTTGCTGGGTCTTATGGTAACTATATTTAACTTATTGAGGGACTGTCAAACTGTTTTCCACAATGGTTGTGCTGTTTATATCACCCCCAGCAATTTATGAGGGTTTTTGGTTTCTCCACATCCTTACCAACATTTGTTATTATCTCTTGTATTACAGCCATCCTGGGGTGTTTGAAGTGGTAGCACATTTTGGTTTGGGTGATGATTAATGATGTTGAGACTCTTTCCATGTGCTTATTGGCCTTTGGTATATTGTCTTCAGAAAAATATCGAATCAGATTATTTTCCCATTTTTCAATTAGATTATTTGTATTTTAATTGTTGGGTTGTAATAGTTCTTTTTATATTCTAGGTACTAGACCCTTATCAAATATGATTTATAAATACTTTCTGCCATTCTGTCATTTTTCTTCACTTTCTAGCTAGTGTCCTTCGACCCATAAAACTTTTTAATTTTTATGATGGAGTGGTAACTTTTAAATTAGCCAATGCTTCTTTATTGGCTACGTTCCTTCTTGTCCCTTCCTCACTCCTACAGGAATATAAATCTACAAAAAATACCTGATAGTTCTTATATCATGGATTTGCTGTGTCAGGGAAGTTAAACTTCTTCTTTCAAAAGGTTATGCGTAGAACAACTTTCAGTTGGAGAGAGTGCCTGGTTGTCCCTTGGTGATATGTGGTCCCGAATCTTCACACTAATTTTACTTTGTGTGCGCCTGTCAGTAATTCCTCTAGAAGTTTTATTATGAATAATAAACTTTTCAACCCTCACTTTAGCTTTTAGGGGAATGTGTGCTTTATACCTTGAAATCCACAGGAAGAAGTAAAAACAGTAAGGCTCCTTGTAATTCCACATCATTTTTCACATAGGGAAACTTAACAGTGATTTTTTTCCAACTCGCTCTAGGGCTACTCACTCTTTTTTTTAGGAAAGAGCCTTGTAACTTCTTTGGATCAATTCTTAAGAATCATTTCAACGCAGTTGGGACCTAGTGGTATGTCTTAGTTCAGATTGCTATAACAGAACACTATAGACGGGTGGCTTAACAACAGACATTTATTTCTCATAGTTCTGCAGTCTGGAAAGTCCAGATCAGGGTACCAGAATGGTTGTGTTCTGATGAGGGCCCTCTTCCTGGTTTGCAGACAGCCACCTTCTTGCTCTAGCAGCCTCTCATGGCCAAGAGAACAAGCTTTAGTCTTTTTATCTTTTTATAAGGACATTAATCCCATCATGGGGGACTCTAGCCTCATGACCTCATCTAAACTTAATTAATTCCCAAAGGCTCTACCTCTTAATACCATCCCATTGGGAGTTAAGTTTCAACATATGAATTTTGGGGAACACAGGCATGTAGCTCATAACACGATTTTTGTGGCTTTTGAATGTGTCCCATTAGTGAATGGAGCTTCTGGAAAGATGATGTGCAAAAAATGCTGGTTGAGTCTTTTATCCAGTGGAGATTGTGGGAGTAGTGGTGGGGGTTGACAGCATGTATTCCTACCAGAATAGAAAGTGTCCCATCTCATGAAGAAATTTCCAGGTATTACACATTGATTCCAAAATTGTGAAAATACCCTGGCTATTGTGGCCAGGGACTTTCTAGTCAGGACAAAAAAGTGGTTTACCTTTATACTTTTGCTAGGAGATCTGAGGATTATTTTTAACAGGTTGCTCACTGACTGTCAGAAGCCAAGCCAGCACCACATAAAGGTGCGAGAATTTCCAGCCCCTGTGAGGAAGGGCAGCTGGTCACACCCAAGCAATGCATCCCAGCCAGGCTGGCACACTGGCCTCCTTCCACCGGGCTTTCCCAGGATGAGCAGCGCAGTACATGCTCCAAGGACCCACGGGACAATCAATGAGGAAAATCCTCCCCTGAGGGGGGTTTTCTCCAGGAGAGGGGACCAGGGAGTGTGGAGGTACGGCGAGGGAGGGTGAGAGAGACAGCAGAAGAGGCCGCAGCCTGCCCAAAGTTCCCATCACTTTGACACACGGAAGGGGTTAAGTCATTCTTGAACAGTTTATCGCTCATCAATTGCAATTAAATATGTTTATATTAAATTATGTTCTGTAATTAATGTAAAATCCTTTAGCCTGTGCTGTTGTTAGAACCAGATGCTGAAGTACCAACAATATTTCAACGCGACTGTGCTGGCTCGCCAGCTGTCTAACGGTAATTACTTTAATCTCAGCTTGTTATCTAATTATCACCTTTGTAAAGGGAAAAGTACTCTCTAATGCTTACTGATTGTTTCAGATGATGATGAAGAGCAGGGAACAGCTGTCAGAGATCTGGGCCCTGCTTATCACAATGAAGGAACTTATCCTGAAGCCTGAATTCAGGGCCAAATTCTGAGAAAAGATGTCTCAGGCGGGAACAGGGGACTAGCCAGTAAGGGGAGACAGTTGGTGTGGTGGTTAAGGGTGTGGCCCCTGTGAATAAATGGTCAGGTGACACCTGCCTCCTACAGTGATGGTGGGGGAACAAGTTACTTGGTTAAGACTCAGTTGCCACATGTGTAACACGGAGACAGTAATAAAAACAGCATCTATCTCAGAGGATTGGTGTGACGATTGAATGAGACCATGCGTGGGAAGCCGTCAGCGCAGTACTTGACGATATGTACATATTTAGTAAACGTTAACTATTCTTCTTTAAAAGAAAAAAAATCAGTGTTGGTTTTCTGCGTTCTCCTGATCAATTCGTTTTCCAAATTATGTTTTAAGTTCTGTCCTTTTGGGACTGAAGTTTACCTTTGCATTGCTTATTCAAAAATGGTTTACCAAACCAGTCAAGAGTATAAACAGGTATCGTCAGGGGAATCTTGAAACTCTAAGGGGGAAGAAGAAATGTTTCTGGGGTATCTTTCAGTACTTTACGCATGTATTTGCATATCAGCAGTTGATGTGGAACCTGTAGTTTATTCCACAATAACCATTAAAGCTAATGCCCTTAGGATGTTTATTAAGCTTTTAATATCCTCCCATGCTTTACCTCTTGGGGGCTGTGCCCCACCAGAGGGGAGTTGGCACCAGTCTCCCCCATGAGAAGAGCATGTCTATCTCCCCCGTTAGACTGTGAGCCCCTCATTTATATATTTTGAGTCTATTGCCTGGTCTGGCACATGTTTAGTCCTCAGTGACTTGACAGAGCTAAACAAGATTATTCCTTCTTGGGCCATGC